CTCCAATCCCTGGGATCAGGTAATCAGCAGACAAAAACCCTCTCCTCAGGGCATAGCTTCGGAAGGCTCGATTTTTGCCTAACCAGAGGTGAGGAATTTGCATTAACCTCTCCCTGGTGTTCCCCAGGAAATCCACTTCACACTTATTGTCCAAAATGTCCATTCTTGTCTGGCACATTTTCAATGTAGTCCTTTGAACTACCACGCCTCACATCACATCTTCTGCCTAGAGAGATTACCTACAGTCCCGGCCCACAATAATACATAAGCTATTCATTTAATACAAAGGACCCAAAAGATACTTAAACTTAATTCAATAAGGTCTCCCAAGAATGTGGCAGGACATAGCCATATCTGTCACAATCCCACCAATTCTCCTTTTTCACCGCTAGCCAGCATCTGTGACTCCTCCTCTGGCTGTGAGGAGGAAGAAGTGGTGGGTGACTTGCTTCATTCTTTTCCTGAAGATCAGGAGTGATAACCATGTCCACACGCTACATCCGCATAACCACAAGATTATGACCAGCTTCAGGAGCTGTTGGAATGTATGGAAGATTCCTTGGAGTCAGAAAAAGAACAGGAGTACTTGTGGCACCTTAGAGACTAACAAATTTATTAGAGCATAAGCTTTCGTGGGCTACAACCCACTTTGTCGGAAAGCTTATGCTCTAATAAATTTGTTAGTCTCTAAGGTGCCACAAGTACTCCTGTTCTTTTTGCGGATACAGACTAACACGGCTGCTACTCTGAAACTTGGAGCCAGAGACCATTACAGTCCATAGAAATACATCACCTTGAAGGCTAAAGGAAAAGGAAAGTTACTCTTTTGATTAATGCAGGGTTACTAGACCCAGCCCAGGACTTCTGGTTCATGCCAGCATCCAAGAAGGCTGACTGCTTACACAAGCTGTCTCAATGAAATCTAATAGGCTACATCAAATACTTCAACAAGGATTCCTGTATTTCTTCAGCTATCCTACTCTTGGATCTTTGGTAGTCTCAGCAGCTAGGGAGAAGATGAAGGACTTCCATTGGAAAAAGGCAATGAAGAAGGTTGAATTTGGGGGAAGGAAAGTATATTACTCTGGGACTCCAGGGATGTCTCCTGCTACCAAGCTGTAATGGTTCTATACCAGTTTCATCTTTGGGAACGCACGCTTTCACTGCTGGACCTTTTGCCAGAGGTGCAGCAGGAGTCAGTGAAGGACTGTTTCAGAGGGATATGTGATGCCTAAGAACTTTCTCCTTGTGTTCTACGATGCTTCTAACATATCTGTTAGAACAAGGGCATCAGGCATCACATTTAGTCATTATTCACAGATGAAGTCTTTGCCCTCACTAAGGCATAAAGGTCTTTCCTGTAAATTGACCCTCAAAGTCTACAAAAAGTTTAGATATCGTCCCTAAATGTTTTCATTCTATGCAAATTCAAGTCCTTCTGACATGTAGGGTAATGTAGTTTAATTTTCCCTGGATAAGGAGGAGATTTCAGGAAGAATTCTAGGAGACGGTCAGTTTCAGGTAGGTATAAAGTTTGGATGAGGATAAAGAACAACTTTGACCCTGTGAAATACACTGAAGGGAGAATCAGCCATTAATGTCTGCAGCTCATTCGCTCTTCTTGTACATGCGAATTAAAGCCAGACAAAGATGTTGCCACTGACCATGAGGCTCTCAAAGCTGCCAGCCAAGAACAGTTGAGAATCTTAATGGAACAGTTCAAGAAACAATTTCTTGGGGAGCCTTTTTTCCCTTTAGGGTGCAGCCAGAGACTGACTGAGTAACTCCGTTCAAGCTGGAATCTTATACAATAGGAGAAATGAAGGATGTAATTGTTCTAGAACAGTTTTTTTTTAAATAGTGTGCCTGGGAGGGTGCAGACTTGGGTGTGCTGGCACCAGTCATTTTTATAACAGACAATGTAAGGAAGTGCTCATGAATATTGTAAAATATACAAAGCTATTTAGTCTGGTTGAACAGAGGAATTATTATTTCCTAGGCTGGCCTACAGGTCTAATGGCCGCTTAAAATATTGCAGTGCGGAATCTGAGTTTGGGATTCCAGTTTAGCCCTTTCCTGTGGGAGCCTGATGATCAAAGTCCCTAGAAGGGTCACAGCTCACATATATCTCTTGCAATCCACTCTCATTAATGTAAAGAGAGATACAAACAGGTTTCAATGGAAACCATGCACAGCCCACCTACTCCAGAGAATCCTAGCAATGCAGGATATTTGGGATGTACTATACCAAAAAGGGGAGAAATGAAGGATCCCAGGGAACTCCAGAGGAGACAAAATAATTTTCTAACAATGATTCTAACACAAGGGAAGTTCCAAAATATTTCAAACACCAAGATTTTAGTTTGTTAAGACCAATTTTACATTTACATTTTTGCAAGTTAAAAATTAAATTAAAAAAGAGTGAACTGGCCTAATAACATGATCCTGTTTCCAGATTTAGGGTCCCTGTAGCCCTGGGCCTGGAGAACTTTGGACCACATAGGGGAGAGAGAGAGTCGGAAAGAACTGCTCTTACCACCTAATATATATGCAATAATAACAATTTACAGAGTTGCCAAATTTCATATGTTGTAAGCAGATAAATAATGAATTCATAGAATATCAGGGTTGGAAAGGACCTCAGGAGATCATCTAGTCCAACCCCCTGTCCAAAGTAGGACTAATCCCCAGATAGATTTTTGCCCTAGATCCCTAAATGGTCCTCTCAAGGATTGAACTCGCAACCCTGGGTTTAGCAAGCCAATGCTCAAACCACCGAGCTGATGTAGGTCTGAGTATGGGGTGTTCTCCCACCCACTCAGCAAACAGAAAAGCTGAACAATAGTGGCTGTCAGAAGAAAAAGGGGCAAAGGGTTATCAAGGGAAGAATAGTAGCATCATAATGAAAAGGCAAAAGTGGAGACCAGGCAAGGCAAAGGAGAAAGCTTGCTCAGATGTCTGTCATAAATAGTGATCTGTATAGTCTGAAAAAGTCATATTGGGGGGTTTGGATAGCACGAGGCAGTAAGTAGATAATCTGTATCAAAGGAAGGATTTCCAATATCCAAAAAACTATGCTATACAGAATGAAAATAAGAGATTTAGTACTAATAGAATATTCTTCTGGAAAAAAAAGAGTTGGATGCCAGTATTTGTATCCTCCTCTCTTCAAGCCAGTAACCAAAAGAAAAATGTTAATAAGGATATAAAGAGACTCCAGATGACTCCAGAAATTCTCAAAAAACCCATAATTTTCCACTGTGAAAGATTCCCAAGAAGTGTGTTAAAAACATAATTATACTTGTAGGAACAATTACAGTTCTGTACTGCAAGGGGAGCTGTTGGCACATAATACTAAGATTGTGCATTAGCTCATCCACCAGCTTCTGTAATATCCACTTCCAGCTATAAGAAGTCATGTTTCAACACCTCCGATTCCCTGATGCTGACAAGCTAAACAACTTGTTTTGTCTCTGGGAGCTCTTCTCTGGTGATTAACTGCTTATAGTGAATACTAATTATATGAAAGTACAGTACTATAGAAATACTGTTTCCTCTACCTGCAGCATCACCATTCTCTTACACAGAGAAGGTATACTGTTAATTCAACTAAAACCAAGAAGATGACATTTTTCAGCACCACAAATAAATTAATCAGCCTCTTACTATGTTATTTCGAGACAGCAAAAGTTACTGACTAGCAAGAGTTTCTTTATTCTTCTGCCTACAAAACAAGTTTAATGACAGATTATTGCACATTTGTAAATGCTTGTAACAGTCCTAGGAATAAATTTGCAACATGAAGTGTGTGAGAATTTGTGATCTGTTTGGTGGTTACAGAGACTGAGCTGTATCCCCAATTCCCCAATTTGAACATTTACCCCAAATTATCAGTTCTTAGAAATTGCACCTCAGACTAAAATCTTTTCACCAGTGAGTCTGAGAATTTGTTCTTCAATTTTAAATCTAAAGTGCTTGTTAAAACGCTAACATTGCAAAATTAGAAGTGATTAAACAATATAAGTCCATGAGTGATTAAATCTACCAAACACAGTCAAAGCAGCTTAAGTGACTTTTTAATTAAAAAGAAAAATATCACAGACAACATTCAGATGTCTTCATCAAGATAAAATTTGAAGATCATTCAAAACACAAAATCTGCCATGCAGGAGACAAAGTTTAGAAATGACCTCAAGATTCCAACTCCTCAGCCCCAAGTGCATTGTCTTTGGGAAGAGGAGAGAAGCACAGACAGTGCTGCAGTATAATCACTCTATGCTTGTTGATTAAATAAGCATGACTAACAGTGGCTATGAAGGGAGACAGTGTGTTCCACTTTCCTGACAGGAGACAGAGTGAATTCACAGTGGCAGTAGTAACTGGGCAATGGGTGATAAGATGTATAGATTAGGGAGAAAATAAACTATTGATTTCAGTCATTTTATGCAATGTTTTAAAACTGTTTCTTCCAGTGCAAACTGATTTTATGTTGGTTTTATGTTTAAAATATTTGGTAACTTTTAAAAACTGTTTAAATTAGAAAGAAAGACAGCATACAGACTGTTTTAAATGTAAATTTTGACCTAATCATTGTGGATCAAATTCAGCTCTGAAATAAGCAGGCGCAACTCAGCTGAAATCACTGCAGTACAGCTTACTTATTCCATGGCTGAATTTGATGCTGTAGCTTTAAGTTCTTTGTATTCATTTAAAGAAATCAAAAAAGAAAAATGGCCAGCAGGTTTCGTCAACTATGGGCATGATGCCAGGAGTCTAAAGATCAGACTTCTCCAGGCTGAGATGATATCATCTACTCCAAGGTCCTGAGGCTCACAGTGTCTGGAGTATCAGAAAATTTACTAGTGAACACCCTATCTCATATTTTTTATATTAAACATGATTATTATACTGCCAGTTGAGTACAAAATCTGTTTCAAAGCTTCCACTTCATCCCTGCATTTTTTTCTTTTACTATGTGTTTAATGTATAACAAGTCTTACCTAAAAAGCATGCCCTAAAGTAAAGCACAGGTACTTCGTAGCTGCTGGAATACAAGACATGATACTCATAACGAATCACTTCTGATGTTGCACAGATTCCGGCTACTTCAGAATCATCCAGGGCTTCCTAAAACAACAAACATTAACACAGTACTTCAGTAAATTATGGGCTTACCCGTAAGGAGAAAATAAGGGTTACCGTTATAGTAATTAACTTAATAAATATAAGGAGCAGACATGAGAGGGATTGTCTCTTACTGAACACTCATCAGTTGAGTCCTGAGGAAATAGTAAGACCAGAAAGAAAAACACGAAAGCCCCAATTTTGCAAAGATTTACCTACATGCTTCACTTCACACACCATGAGGAGTGTGTATATAGTTAAACCCATGTGTAAGTCTTTGAAGGATTGTGGCCTTAATTAATCCAGATTGCTTTTGTGAGACAATCAGACAACAAAGCAACTGTGGAAAATCTTTATCACAATACATTTAGCAATATGTTGGCTACAGCAGCTACTCCCTTCGTTACCTGTTACTGTTGAAGATCATCCTACCAACTGAAGGTGAAGTTATAATAGATCCCTAAAGAATCTGCAGGTTTAAAACAAAAGGAAGTATTTCTTCACACAACGCACAGTCAACCTGTGGAACTCTTTGCCAGAGGATGCTGTGAAGGCCAAGACTATAACAGGGTTCAAAAAAGAAGTAGATAAATTCATGGCAGATAAGTCCATCAATGGCTATTAGCCAGGATGGGCAGGGATGATGTCCCTAGCCTCTGTTTGCCAGAAGCTGGGAATGGGTGACAGGGGATGGATCACTTGATGATTACCTGTTCTGTTCATTCCCTCTGGGGCACCTGGCATTGGTAACTGTCGGAAGACAGGATACTGGGCTAGATGGACCTTTGGTCTGACCCAGTATGGCTGTTCTTATGGTGGTTACTTTCCAAAGGATAATTCATTTTATGCAGAAAATTCCAAGTTCCATTTTTAATTAGAGCTATTTTGCAAGAGGTTGTGTTGGTTAATAACACTTCTGAAGTTGAGACAATTTTTCCCCTCCTCTTACTATATGCTGCTAAAATCAACTTCAACTATAGATTGGGCTCCACCTCTTCTGTTTGTTTATAAGCAGAAGCATTCCGATACATTCCCAGGAGCTCCCAATTACCAGCTTACGTTTTGTATCTTCTTTTACCAATGTATGAACATAAGACATAATTTTCAAAAGGTGCTGAGCACCCATAGTTCTTATTGACTTTACAACCAATTGCGAAAGTTTATCACTCTGAAAATTAGGCCATTAACTTTTTAACCCTATTAAATAAGCTAATTAGATATACTGGAACAAATTTTCCAAGAAAACAAAACTGAAATGTCCACAAAATGCACGTGCACTTGTTGAGCCTTGAAAACCCTGAATTTGCATACACAAACCAACTGTATGCCCCAAAGGGTAGATATACATATACAAATATGGGCTTTGTGGGTGCACTATTACCAACTAACTGTGAATATTTAGTTCTTTGCCCAAGCAAAATGCCAAAGACTGAAAGGGAACAATGAAGAAACAGCATTTTTTAACCCTCAAGTTGTTACAACACATAAGACAGTTAAAGCTATTTTGTATTTTTTCTTAGATCCCTAACTCACCTTAATGCTTGCTCTGCCATGAATCAATCCATGAGGGAGATGCAAGAACTGACAAACTAAGAGTAATCATAGAGAACATACTATGACTTTTTGGAAAGCCCATGTAAATTGATTTCATCCAAATAGTATTTTAGACAATCAGGTGTTGCTGATAAGAGTGTACAAGACTGTGACTAGAGGTCCCAGATTCTGGATAGCCACATACCAGTGTAGTTGGAAATAATGATAACACGATTTTAAACATTAAATTAAGATATTTAGAAAATCACAGCAGCTCAAAGAACAAAAGAATTCTGGGAATAATGGCCAATTGCAGAAAGCTTGATCTTAGTTTACCAAAAAATAGATACCTAAAGCACTGAGCCTGGACATTAAAGGAAATCCTCTCTGTTGACCCAGCTTTTAAAATCTTAGGCAATGAGATATTAAAGACAATATGCCAGAAAGGACAACATTGATTACTGTTTTTGACTTCACCAACCAGATATAGATCTGAATGCTTTACCCAGTTCACATATAATAGACTAAGAACACACGTTTTCCCTCCTTCCCTCATAGCAATCCTACTGATCAGATGTATTGGGAGCCAATACTATGTAAAAGATTTTTTGTGGAAGAAAGGTTGATATTACTTTTGCCTAGTAAACTGATAATTCTTTAAACTGGATATATCTTCTGGGCCAGTGCTTTGGTGAAGGGCATAAATGGGAAAAGAGAAGAGAATGGAGGGCGATGGAAGAAACTAAAAACAGCAACTAGGGATCAGCCCAAATCCCCTCAAACTTTGAAGACCTTTGGATTCAGATCTGAACCCAGATCCAAACTACATAACTTAAGACAATCTCTTCCTGAAGCAAAACTTAAAATGATTCTTTGTGAAGATATTCATGTTTAGTAGGTTTTTATATTATGGGTTTACGTACTATTTGGCCATTAGATGACCTTGCTCTGAAACAGGATTGGATAAGTGTGACATACAGTGAAGTACTTGCTGAGTCTCTTTCTTTTGTTGGCTGTGCTGTACTGTACCACTGATAGTTCCAGTGCTGATATAAATTTTTAAATATTGTTCTTCCACCAAAACAGTCCTGTACATGCATGTACACTCTTTTGTGTGTGTGTGTGTGTGTGTGTGTGTGTATATATATGGAAAAACAATGAACATCACTTTAGTCATTAACATTATATTGATTTCTAATTTGGAATTATTTTTAAACTAGAATAAAAAAAACAGTCACCCTCTCTTTCACCCAAAAGCACATGGAGAAATAAGTAACATCTTTACCAAAGAGCTGCCTTCCTCAATGTGAGTTCAGCAGAACAGGCCTCATGAATGTCCTGCTATCTTGGAAGTGGTGGGTTAAGATATGAGCAGTCTGTCGCTACAAATTCTGCTTCTGGGGATTGCAGGGAGTTCAGCGTTTGAGCAACCTCTGCAGAAAAACCTTAATTTTCTGGAGATGAACTGGACTAGGGAATAGAACAATGAAGGAGTCAGAAGCTCTTTCTGATGACCCTGTTCCTCAAGAGGGAGGAGATGGACTACAAAAAATCTCCCTTGAGGATTCCTGGTGTTACTGGAGGGAAATTAGATTACGTTATGCCTCTCTAGAGATCCTACTTCTCAAGAGACAAGAGTTATTTCATCCATCAGTGGCATCCCCAAAAGAGTACGGACACCTCTGGAGGGTTAGGAACAGGAAAGAGCAGGTTGTGCAAGCAGTCTTCTCCTGAAAAGCCAGATGTTTTAGGGAGCTGGAGGTTGACCATTTCTCATTTTGTATTAACCTGGTTTTTGCTTTTAAATGATGGTTTGGGCTATGTCTGAAACAGGGAATTCAAAAGAAGGCAAAGCTTAAGGAAGCTTTGGAAGACAAAAATTTTCCCTTCTCTATCCTGTAACAAGTTGGAATTTGGTCTAGTATACGAAGCTTCTGTTATTCAAAATATGATTTTTGATCATTCAGATCTCTTTGCATGCTATATATATAGTGACAAGTGGAAGCACTACTGTAGTCTATATACTTGCATGGACACTTGAATCCTTCTTAGAGCTATTTCTAATCCCTTTTCATTTGGGTAAACAGCAGTGGCAGGACTTGTTACATAAAAAGATACAGTACCAACATGTAATCCTGTACTTTATAGTCTCTAAGAATGATGCATAGAATTTAACATGGGAAAGTAAATTTTGGAGTCTACAAGCACTCAGAGTGTCTCTTTAGCTGGTGAGTTGAGCCTTTGCTAAAGCCATGTTCTAGAATAAAATGAACTGGGTCTCTTTTTAAGATGATCTTTGGCGCATTTAAGACCTTGTTCGTGACTGAACAGAACCCACAAAGACTAAGCGAATATTACATTGGCCCAACAGAAGATAAGTCTGAGGGGGTTTTAAACAAAAGGCCATAGCTTTTTGCATAATCACTAACAGAGCCATAAATAACAGAAGGTATAACTAATACATAAAAATAAAATCCAGTTATTTTCACATAAGCCATGTGATAGCCTATTTATAGGTTGTTTTTAAAAATTTTAATTTGTTCCTTTCCTTGCTATATATACTGCTGTCCTGCACCCTCTGAGCTGTTAACAGTACTTTATGTACTACGGTATTATGACAGCTACGACGCAACATAAATAATTTACTCTTGAGCATTGATAGGTCATAACATGCACAGTACCATTGCTCCAAAAATATTCCTGGAAATATAAATATAAAGAGGGTGAGCTAGCTCTGTTGTTGAATTGATGGATTTTGTTTAGATACTCACTATGGCAAAAAGATTTATCTGCACAGTGGATAAAATGCTAATTTTATTAAAGTGTTATTAAATAGGGATTTCTGGCTAAATTATAATTCCTAGAAAAATTACACAGCCACTTGATTTCTCAGTTCTTGTTTCTCCATAAGAATTTGCTTGCATGGCTGCCACACTGCAAGGGAAAACTGAATCCAGGACTGACTGACTGTTTCCTAAACAAATTGGGAAGTTGTCATCAGGAAGCATCTGTTACTTTATTACTCTCACGAAAAAGCATTCTTGTGCTATCATAACGGACTATTGAGCAGATGCTTTAAAGCACTATACCCACAGCAATGTATGTATAATAAAAAAGATAAGCAGCTACAGCCTAATTAATGATATTGGTTCCTTTATAAATGCATTCTTACTAATTTTAATTGATCAAAAGTTGTCTTTGACATTTTAGTTCTCTCTTCTACCCAATATATTTGTTCCGTTCCTTTTAAATGATAAAATATTTACATCAATAGATAAGAATTGATGATGCACATCCTTCTGAAGGCAAAATAACACATTTCTTCTCTAACAAAAGATACTATTTTATCCCTTTGCGAGGCAGAAGACAAGTTAAAGATCCTGGGGGGTGAAGAATTAACTTGTTTTTGACAGTATTTAATAAGAACTGTATCCATGAGGGGTAAGGCAGGTCATGTTGGGAGGATAGGC